GAGAGGCAAGGAGATAGAAGAGACCCACCCTGAGGGACTGAGAGGAACTGAGAGGGTGTCACACACAGAGTCCCTGGAGAGAGGACGGTGGTCCTTTAGCTCAGGGTCAAGGAAAGCTCTCTATACACCATGATCTTCCTCTTCCCCCAGGAATGTATGAGAAACCCTCCCTCTCGGCCCATCCAGGGCCCTCAGTGTCCTCAGGAGAGAACGTGACCCTGCAGTGTCGCTCTGAGATCTGGCTGGATAACTTCCATCTGTCCAAGGAGGGGTCATCTGCTCCTCCCGAGCACCTTCATCTGCAGAACAGGGCTGCACCGTTTCAGGCCAACTTCACCATCAGCCCTGTGACCTCAGATCATGAGGGGACCTACAAGTGCTATGGTTCAAACAGCACCGCCCCCTACCTGTTGTCACTCCCCAGCGACCCCCTGAATCTCCTGATCTCAGGTGAGGACCTTTTCCTTGTGTCCTCATGGTCAGTTCAGGGTCCTGTCCCCAGGGGAGCTCTACACTGGGAGTGAGGGGATCACAGAAGGCGAGTCAATCAGAGGGAAATCTCACCTCTCAGAGGGATGGAAAAAGTCAGAGAAATTCCCATCATTGCCTCATCCTCATCCTCATCCCAAAGGTCCAGATGAGTTTGGTGAGTGGAGGAGGCCAGAGAGGACTGAGGGCTGATCAAAAGAAGAAAAGACCAGAGGCACCCCCTCCTGATCCTCCTCCAGTCTACAGTCCTAGTAGCCCCTCACCCAGAGAGATTACAATGGTGGATGACTAGCAGAGGCTGATCAGGATCCTAGAGGGATCAGGACATCCTGCTGTGGCACGGCTTTTCTCCTGGGGGAGCTAGGAGTCAAACAGAGATGCAAGGGGGCCACAGAGCTCCAGGGACTCTGTGGGAGTGGATGATGCATGGGGCGGTCATGGCAGAGGGAGATGTTGGGACTCATCATGGGATAGGGGCAGCTGGGCTGAAGTGGGGGGAATGGCAGCCACCCACTTACATCCCATCCTGATCCCCAGGAGACTCTGAGGATCAACTCTCCCCAAGGGAGTCAGCAGCAAGGTGGGGTAAGTGAGGGTCTCTGTCTGGGGGTGGAACGTGGGAGGAGCTCAGGTCTGGTCTTGGCTCAGCCATTTCCTGAGACGGTGACACGAGAAAAGTTTACCTTTCTCATGGAGACAAATTTCTCCACTTGCAGAGGGCAAGAGGGCTGCTTGGACATTGTGTGTGGGGACACAGGCGGTGTCTGAGCTCTCCTCCATAAGCTCAGGGGCGCTCAGCCTTCCCAGGAGCAGCTGTGGAGTTAGGGAAAGAACACCCCCTGGATTCAAACCCCAGTTCTGCTACTTCCCACCTGTGGATCTTGGACAAGTCATGAACCTTTCTGAGTCCCAGGTTCCTCTCTGCACAGCAGGCCTCCCATCACCTCCCTCAGGGTGGAAGCCCTCAGCCTGGGGCCTGGCCCAGTTAGAGCTCAGGAAGGACAGAGCCCTCCCTCCCAACCTTCCCAGATGCACACACACTCCATGTCTACACAGGGCCCGCGTGGGGGGCCAGGCATCTGCAGAGTGGGAGATGGACCTCGGCTGGGAGATGGGGAGAAGGGGGAGGGATCGCGTTTGGTGCACAGGTCTCTGCACTGGTGTTCTGCCTGGAGGGTAAGGGGACAGCATAAAAATAATGTAAAAAATCCAAGGGAACCAACAGTCTTGGGTTCCAGTCCCAGCTCTGCCACTTCAAGATGGGTGTCCTGGGGCATGCAATTTACCTCTCTGTGCCTCAGTTTCCACATCTGTGAAGTGATTGGGTTGGAGGTTGACAGTCCCATGTTGCATGATTGCTGTGAGTTAGAGGAGATGGATGACCGGGTCCCAGCAGAAGCCTGGCACACAGTAGGCTCTAAATTAAATGGCATCATTGGCTCATTCATGACTTCACTCATGCCCAAGGTCTCAAGTGGTACTTGAAGGATCTGATAGGAGTCTCGGTGGCCTTCGTCCTGGTTCTCTCCCTCCTCCTCTTCCTCCTCATCAGATGCCGGTGTCAGGGCAAACACAGGACATCAGGTGAGTAGGAAACACGGTAACCTGGGTCTCAGGAAGAGGTGGGCTTAGGGCACCAACCAGAGGGAAACCAAGGAGGTGGGAAAATAGCTCAAGAAATAGACTTTGCAGAATTTCAAATCAAGTATTCCTAAAGAAAACACTTAATATAGCACATATATGCGTTGAAGAATTTCTTTCATCTTTTCAATCTCATGAAATATTAAAGCATGCTCAAAAGTGTGTAAGGTTTCCTTCTTTCCTCTCGAATCCCGTGTGGAGGGCGGGTGGTCATGACCTCCCAGGGCTGAGACTCTGTCCATCTTGACCCAGCCCAGAGACAGGCTGATCTCCAACTCCCTGCAGGGGCTGCAGACCCAGAGCCCAAGGACAGAGGCCTGCAGATCAGGTTTCCTTCCCAGGAGACCCCCAGACTCCCACTCCCCCTCAGTCCCTCTCTGCCCCTAAAATTCCCGTCTCCTCCCCCAGCTCCAGCCCAGCTGCTGAGGCCCAGGAAGAGACCCTCTGTGAGAGGAGAGGAGGGGCCACCCTGGGGG